GATTATGTTTTTCCATCTCGTATCCAGATCTCTATCATACTCTCTGATCCTCTTAGTATGAGTTGATCTTAGGATGGTCAAATTTGAGGACATTGTCCATGGTTCTGAGTCCTCAACAGTGTTTTCATTCTGGAAAACATGTCATACTCATAAAATATTTGATTTGCTTGTTGGATGGTTAGACTAGACAATTGGCTAAACTTTCTGCCATGCCGAGTGTTCTTGTAGGCATCTCCTCCTCCAGGGAAAGTAAAGGCAAAAAAAGAGGTAATCATGGTAGACCCTCTTGAGGCCAAGCGGTTAGCTGGGAAGCAAATGGAAGAGATTAAAGGCAGAGAGAAGCAACAGGTGAGGAAAACCCACTGATGGATGATGATAACTTGTTTGAAAGATTTGTAGAAATGGCACAGATGGTTATTGTCTCGTTTGCTTAACAGAGAAGGCGTGAAATAGAGGCTATAAACGGAGCATGGGCAATCATAGGACTGACGATAGGGCTTGTGATCGAAGCCCAAACGGGGAAGGGTATTCTTGCTCAGGTATCTGATTCTTTACTTACTTCCTCTGTGTTGTTGAGAAAGGAAAGGCTTTACTGAGTTTTGCTACGATAATTGCAGTTGGCGGGTTATTGGTCTGCGGTTGTGCATCTATTCATCCCACCAACATAGAATTTCCCACGAGTTACATCCGTTGCGGTTCATATATGAAATCGTGTGCATTGTATTTTACATCAATCTGTAGCAAAATCGATACAACTTAAGAATGTGAAAATTCGATTAGTCTCTCTGTTTTGCAATTGAGATTAGTCTATGTTAGTTTTCCATTAATTCAATTGGCAATGTATCTTTTCTCATGTATCATATATTTGGTTTCGGTTTGAGATTCCACAGCTGCTAAAAAAATGTCTGATATTTTTTTTTTACTAAAAACTTGAAATAATTTGAAGATTGAGAGCCAATGGGCTTTTTTAGTGTGGGCTTTCATAGTGAAGAATACATGCTACATATATTTTTTTTTAGCAGAGACTTGTAGTCACGGACCGTCAAATTCCCGCCGCCGTCGCCGTCGCCGTCGCAGAAACCCGTTCATCTATGGCTTTTGCAGGACACTCCAACGGCTATACCACGGCGGCTTTAGCCTTCACACTTGCCGTCGTATCTGTCTCCGCCGCAGTCTCCAGTAATCTCTTACACTTGCTCTTGCCCATACCTGTTTCTCAAGTACTAGACTCTTTTTATCCTCTGTTTCTTGCCAAAGTGTATAGATGGCGAAGACGAGGAGAAGATTTGAAGTGTACGATTAAGGAACTTGAGAAGTCTTTGGGATCTACCATGGATATAAGTGCTTCAGAGAGAAGAGGCCGAGTCAAGGCTCAACAGGTCTGCTTCTATTACTTTAGTTTATAATCTGATGAAATCAATTTTTCTTACTTGGAACTGGTTTAATGCACATTGAGATTGGTTCAAGGATACTGAAACTCGTGTTTTTTACTCTCTGATGCAATTGAAGGATTTCTGTGTTCTTTAGGCATTACGGGAAGCGTTAACTCAGAGTGAGTCGCATAACTTACACAACACTTTATACCCGATGCGACCAATTGGCACTATACAGTCTTGCTTCTCTACAAGGTATAATGATCCTATAGCTTGTCCGTTTCAGGGGAGCATAAATGTTGAGCGCTGCTTCTTGGTTTTTTCAGGAACGGAACACCGAGGCAGCCATTGCTTGTTTCTCTTGCGAGGGCATGTTTGATCTTTGATCCGGCTTTGGTTCCTCCTGCATCTCTTGAGGGTCTTGACGAGTATTCTCACTGCTGGATACTATATGTGTTTCATCTCAACACTGATATCGAGAAGCTATGGAGAAAGCCATCTCAGTCTAAGCTCAAGGCAAAGGTACGCAAGCCGCATCTTGCTTTGTTTCTATGTTAGGATGTTCTCAGTCTGAAAGGTTTTTGGGGTGTTTTCAATTTCAGGTGAGAGTGCCAAGGCTAAATGGGGAACGAAAGGGAGTCTTTGCTACTCGGTCCCCTCATCGACCTTGTCCCATTGGGCTCACTGTTGCCAAGGTTCTCTGAACACAAATCCATTTTTTCTGTGGTTAACAAAGATATGGAGTATCTTTACCAAATATACATAATATAATCCATAGGTGGAGGAAATCCAAAAGAACAAGGTTCTGCTCTCTGGGGTCGATCTAGTCGATGGAACTGTAATTCTCCTTTTCCTTGCATGCTAGATTTACTTGTGCTTATCAGCTTCTTGCGTAGATCATTGATTGTTTTAACGGTTTTGGACAGCCTGTGCTTGACATCAAGCCTTATTTACCGTACTCAGATAGCATTCAAGGAGCCTCAGTACCAAACTGGGTACAGGTATGAGCATTACTATGTAATGAACTCTCTAAGCTTTTCTTTTGTGTAACTGAACATTGCTGAGACTTTAAGATCATTACGAGTGCTTATCTAAGTCGGTAGAAGCAAAGATTGAAACATATCGAAAAATGAATTTCAGGAGGAGTGCTCATTGGCTGTCGCGTCTGTGAGTTTTTCGGACACCTTCTCTTCCTCCATCACCAGCTGCTGGAAACTGATAGTGAGTGCCTTTTTGACCTGGCCATCTCATCTCCATTTTTCGTTTTGACAAACTTTGTTGTTTGCGCGCAGGAAAAGAAGTCTCTGTATGGTTCAGCGGATGAGTTGAAGAGCTTGATTACGCAGGTCCTGTCATGGGACATACGATCAATGTCACAGCGGAACAAGCCACAAGATACATCAGATGCAGAGAGCATCGTCTATCACTTGGTTCTGGAGGGACTAGACGTGTCTTACATGATAGATAATGAAACTAGCATCCTCGTCCAAGATGTTTCCCTTGCTAATAACCTGGAAGATGTTGCAGGAAGCTGATATTTGTGAAGACTTATATTGGACATGAAATGATGAGCAATCTTGAGCTTCTTCGAATAGAGAGACACAACATTCGGTAGAAGAACAAAACTGGATTCACATTCAACACAAAACCAAACGCATGCAGTTATAATTTGGTTTGCTGTTAGATGATTCAGGCGAGTTAAAAAAAAAAACAGGGCCTTTTTCAAGTAATATGATGATTAAAAACGCAAACGGCTTGGTTGTGGTCAGGTCGAAGAGCTCATCGAGCTCACTCTCATTGGCAAAATGATCGGTTCTTTTCACTCTTCTTTGTTTCTTTCTATAAGATTGCAAATTGCAATGCCATTTTTATTGCTCAATTTGCTATTCTTTACTTTGGAAAATTGTTATGGCATTGAGGTTTAAATTTGATTTGTTGCAATAATCATTTTGCTTGGTAAATGAACTTGATCATGTCATGTTACCATGTTTGGTTTAGTGCTGGATTGCTTTGAGCACATTGACAGGTTGCTTAGAGTTTGGACTGGAAAACGAAATGGTGATTCTTGAGTATTTATGGACGCAAATACTCAAAGCTATGTAGTCGTGTCCCATTTTTGGCTACCGGTTTAGTGGACGTAAAGCGAAGTCATTACCCAAACACGTTCCGCAGTATCATCCTGGGCCTCTTCCTGAAGAGTTATACAAGACAAGACCCTCCAAGCTCTAAATTCAGAATCCAAACCGGTAATTCCAGATGCTAGCTCGAGTGAGCCGCGATTGAAGGAGTAGCATTCAAGTGTTGCATTCTATGCACCAGTAAAATCTCAGGCTATTTTCCTGTGTTGTCTTTGGATGATAAAAATAATCTTTTAACCAAACAATGTTACCAGACTTGTTTCAAAATAACACACGAGATTTTATGTACGCCAAGCAGGAAATAAACTTTACAGAATAAATACAAAGAGATAAATTAACTGTACATGTTTTATTTACAAAATCTCTGCACTTAATGTTTGATATGATAATACTACTTAATGAAATATCAGACTTACAAGCACGCACAAGAAGATGAGAACTTAGTTCAATAGAAGTGGATTTGGGTATTAAAGGAAGTAAGAGAGTTGTTCCTTCTTCCTTGAGCCTCCTTCTCCATACAAATCATTCCACTGCTTCAATTCGTTCATTCCTGCTCCTTCTGCTGCAAAACTAGCAGCAACCTGCAAATGCAAAATCAATTAGCCGCCTACTTTGCACACAAATAAAAAAATCACAAAACACAAAACTAATTTGCCTTTTAACTTACCTGGCTTTTAGCTACTCTCATGTCTTCCATGCTTAAAGCTCTCAAAATTATGACTCTCTCTTCAGATACTTCTTCCTTTGCTTCAGATCCCTCTTCACTACTCTTCTCTCCGGCTTCCTCTCTCTTCTTCCTCTCCTGAGGTTTTATGAGAAACCACCACTGAAATATTCATTCAAGCGCTAGTAGAAAATGAGGGGAAAAATTCTCACCTGGTCTTTTAAGCACTCCTGCTTTATCAGTTCCCTCACCGGTCGATATGCAGCTGTTGTGCAAAAGTTCTGTTTGTATAACGTTCACAAAAATCAGTCCGTAAAGACAAGATTCGGATGTCAGGAAAGTGAGATAAGAACAGTGACAAACCTTGAGATCACTTCCGCTATAGCCTTGTGTCATCTGGGCAAGCTCATGGAAATCGAGATTCTCTGTTCTCTCTTTTGATAATAAGGTTCTCAAGATCTTCTCTCTGCTCTCGACCGATGGAAGACCCACCATGATTCTGCCTCCCAACAAAAACGAAAGCAGAAGCTGGAGTTGGTAAAGGTCAAGCTCAGAGTTACAACTGAAAGGAGTACCGGTTCAGCTTACCTCCGCTCGAACCTCCTAATGATGGCTTCATCTAGATCAAACGGCCTGTTTGTTGCTGCAAGAACGAGAATGCGTTCACCTGAATTCGACATAAGCCCATCCCAATGTGTCATGAACTCATTTTTGATCTTCCTCATAGCTTCATGCTCTCCAACTCTTGTCCTCTGCCCCAGCATGCTATCCACTTCGTCCACAAATATAATAGTCGGAGACACTTTGGCCGCGAGGGTGAACAGAGCTCTCACGTTCTTCTCGTCTTCTCCAAACCATTTTGAAGTGATTGTGGACATGGACACATTTATGAAACTAGCTCCAGCTTCGTTCGCAATGGCTTTTGCCATCATAGTTTTCCCAGTACCAGGTGGTCCAAAGAGGAGGATTCCTCTGCAGGGCTTGAGAAGGCCACCTTTGAACAGGTCAGGCCTACGAAGAGGAAGCATGACTAGCTCTTGAAGCGACTCTTTGGTTTCATCCAGTGAACCTATATCAGCAAAGGTCACACCAATCTCATTTGCCGGGATAACCTCTGGTCTTATGCGCTTCTCGAATTCATTATCAGGAGGCACCTCCTACGTTGACACGATAACAAAAGTAATCAAACCTTATGGGTATGGCAAAACGGGTTTAAGATATCAATGTGGAAAACTATTTACAGGTGCTTTTGGAGGCAGGGGACATTCATTCTTGGTTGAAGGAACCGATCTTTCCAACTCATTTTTGTTTTCCGGAGATTTTGACTCACTCTTTATTATCCCTTCACCTTCTTCTCCCTGCACCATATCCATTCTCATGTGAGTCACTTCATAATTGAAAAGCACATGGACAGAACTGTAAGTACCTTGGAGTCAGTGTTTCTTTCCAGCTTCAAGGAGTCCTCAAGGCCTCTGTTACCATCCTGGAATATATTCAGTCCATGGGACAAGCTGTTGCAGAATTATTTAATCAGTTTAGCTTAATAAGAGGTGAATGCTTGCTGTGTAGAAGAGATAATTATTCGTCTTAGTACCTATTGGCAGATATTACAAGCCTCCCGTTTTTGTATTCGGCTTCTTTGTTGTGCATCAGATGGTAGGAGATTGCAGAAACCACAATTTCCTCAATGTGACTGCTCAGGAACATCGTATCTGCGTGGCATATGGAACCCAAATCATCACATTCGAGATCATTAGACGCAAGAACCTCAGCTATGTGGTTCTTGTTGTCCTGAAACTGTATCACTTTCATGTCATCTTCAAATCGCGTTTTCCAGCTCATGAGCTGAGATTCATCCTCTGGCGGTCTGATCTCGATGTTGTAAGGAAACAAAGCAGAAATGCCGTCTCCTACTTCTTGGCAGTCATCTACGGGTTCTAATAGTCTTGAGCCGAGAAGCAAAACAGGGCCAGAAAGCTTACTCAAGAGCCTCTGGAACAACTTGTAGAACCTTTCTGACTCGAGAAGCTTCTCAACATCCCTCAGGTATATAATTATAGGATTGGTTTCCGAAACCGAAACCAAGACCTGTAAAGATAACAACCGTTCGGTTTAAAAACTGCACGAGAACCGTGTCCTGCTTGTGTCAGAATACAAATATACAGGGTGTTACCTTGTAAAGTGACTGAAGGAAAAGTCTCTCATCAAAGCACAAGTTTGTACTGCGTTTGCTTGAAGCTAAAAAGTATAAAAACCCACAAATGAACAAGAGGTCTAAAAATCTAAAGTTACGTACAACTATACTAAGGATCCAGGCCTACAGTTATTTATTCAAATCTTGATACAGTGGATTAGCTATGATAATAATAAGTCAATCCTAGCCTCGCAGAAAGGATAAAAATGGTTCCATACCTGAAACAGAAGTTGAGGAACGAGAAGATATGCTACTCATATCAGAAGCAGCAGAAGCATTTCGCTTGAGTCGCGGAGGATGACTTGGACCTTCAAAGCCCCTGGCACATTTGCTTGAAAGGAACTAGTGAGCTTACATAAAACATATAAATCTATTTTTCAGCTTGAGAAAACCGTCAAGAGATATTCAAGCCACACCGAAAAAACAAACCATACATGAAGAACAACACAATGTACCTTGCTTGAAGATCGTTGCCACTTGTGTGCCTACGCAAGGTCCCTGAAATTTGCAAGAATGCTAACGCTTGAGCTCTTTTGATAATAAAGAGATTTAGAAAGGCCAGGGATTTGATATTGTACCTCTAGTTTCTTCCCTTTGGGAAAGCATAGAGAAAGAACCCATCAAATTCGACATTTTGTCCAATGTCAACTCAGAAATAGACCTCTTGTGAGACTAGCAAACAATAGATCGAAGAAAGAAAAATCACAATCATGATCTGTTCAAAACACAAAATTATCATTAGATCACAGCGTAACGTACAGGCTCCTTCTTGATGCGCCCGTACTTGCTCTGTATCTGTACCAAATAAACACGAAAGAGAAAGCTTAGAAGCCGTTATTCAGCAGCCAATTCATGGAGAATGGAAAAACTCAAGGCAATAATTATCACCTTAATAGAGAAGTCAGTTATATCTAGTAGCAATAGTTTTGATTCAAAATAATGAGCCAGTGCTTTTGCAAGCATTTGCTGATAGAATTCTGCAGAGAAAACAAAAAAAATTACACAAAATTTGGATATAAGAAAACAAGATTTTGAACACAAAAGGATGGGAGATGTTTACCAGCGGGTCCAGACAGTAGAATGGCCTTACTTGCAGGTGCAAGATTACGCGTGTGCTTCGAGATATCAAACTGCTTGAGGTGAACATAAGCTGCACTTGTCAATAAAAGCCGAGTTTTCTCGCTGCAACAACATCCAAATGAAACATGAGTGTAACAATATTGTCCCATTTATATATGCAACACTTTCAAACCTTTTTAAAAACAAGAACAAGAAATGGGTTTGAAACTTTCTAAGATAAGCAGCAATGTCAAAGTCCTCGTTTAGTTTACCTTAGATAATAAGGAAACTCGTCGAAAGTGACACTACTCTCTCTACCATCGACAATCTGCCTCACCAACTCTTGCTCAATCTTTTCTCCGGTGAGCCCATCCTCTGCGGAAACCGACCCGTTTGCCCATTTACCCAAACCCTGACCCGACGCTAGCCCAATGCCTAACCCAACACCAACCCCTAACGCGGAAAACAACACACTCTTCTGCTCCATTTCTGCCAAACAAATCCTTGATCCAAAGCCAAAAGCATTCCCAAATATATAAAAAGTGGCTCTTTTGTTTTTCTTGTCAAATATATAACCTGCTTTTCCTCCTTGCTCTCAAGTTTTTGAGGGTAAATAAGAGTTTGGTGGACGATGGAGAAGACATATAGGTTTGATGGGCGTGAGACAATCATCCTCTATTTATAGCATATGTACTCTTATGGTCGTTAACACTTTGCCGGGAAAAATCCAACCATTTTGGCTTCTAATAAAATCGGATTAATT